TTCAGCTTCAGGCCAGATGCACAATTAGAGTGACTCATGTATTTCATGCATGCATGAATAAATGCATGTATAGATGAATTAATAAATAGATGATGGAAATTTCTGGCTTTCACGAGGCCTAGCCACAAACAGAACTACCCTCTGTGGATCTGATGGTCTTCATTCTAAAATGACCGTGCAACCTCACCTTCATAAAAGACTCCATGGATTTTGAGGCCAGAGAATTGCTCCGGAAGAGGGTGTTGGCCTCACCTGCAAGCACAAGTTCTAGTGGGTATAGACCTCGGCAAGTCCCAGCTCCCCCCTACACCCCCGCAGGCAGGAGAACAAAGGACCACTGGGTGGGGTCTCTAAGTGGTCCCTCAGTAAATGGACTTTTCAGCACTTCCCACCTGCCCCACCCTTCTACGTGTTCTTTTTAGGGAGGGGGCAGTCAATGTGCTAAAGAGGGTCTCCTCCACCCTGCCTGGGGCAAGTCCTCTCAGGCCTCACTGGTTCGGCCCAGCTCCAGCCGGAAGAGCAGATCCAGAAAGTCCTTGGCGAGCCCCTGCCCCAGGAAGAGCTTGAGCAGGGTGGTGGCCACTTCCTGGCGACACTCGGCACTGGTAGTTTCCTCGATGAGAGGAATCAGGTGCCCTGGGCCCTGCAGAAAGCAGCAGAAAGATGGGGTTCAAATTTACCAGGGAACCCCAGAGCTTTGTGGGAAGGTTATCTGGGGATAGGGCAGGGTTCTCTGGATATTGGTCAGTGCCGTCCCAGCCCCAGGAGTCAGTCTGTTGTTCCACAGAATGGGTTTAGGACAACTAAAGCTCTCAGTTTCCCTCAGGGCCTCCTCACCTGGTTGCCCGGCTTCACCTCCCTGCACAGCAGTTGGACCAGAGGCTGGTAGCAGACAGAAGGCAGCACGGTGTCATCCCGCAGTCGCACCTCCAACTGCAAGGAGCCCAGGTTGCCCCTGGAATGGGCAGTCTGTGATCTCTCCACCAGGGATCTCGTTTCCCTGGGCCACACCCACTCAGGAAGGCTCAGGCTTTCTCCCTTTGAGATTAGCTATGCATTCTCTTCGCCTGTGTCCATCAGCTGCACGCAGGCCCCTTCCCCCAGCTTTTCCGTGTCCGTGTCTTATTACCCAAAGAACTTCCATCCATCCTCAAAGCCTACTTCTTTCATGCCTCCTGACTCCACGGACCACAGGAGTCCACTTGGGTATACCAAGATCATATTCCAAATCTATCAACTCCTAAACACCACCATATCACCTGTACACTTTACCCAGGACACAAGTGGTTAACCTACTAGAGAGATTCAGACTCAGGAAAGTTAGGCAGCACATCATAGTAAGTCTAACCACCAAGATCTCATACTGTGACTCTTCTTGCAGAGGGCACTGACTAAGGCTTAATGTTCTTCATGGCTCCCACTACCCTCCCCATAAGGTACCCTGAGCAAGTCACACTGCACAGCACGTGCCCCATGCACTGCAGCCATCAAGACTGCCTTAGACGGCTTCTAGGCAAATGCCTTGGGCTGTACACATCTGCCCATGCCGAGATCGGGATAGATGAGGGGTACGGGACCTTCAGGGATCCAAAGCTGAGTCAGCCAAGAGATGTGAGCAAGACAAAAACAAGCCAAAGTATGTTCTAGATGTGGCCACCAGATCAAGCAGATTAAAAACACAAGACACCAAGTGAAATTAGTGAATTTTTAGTAGGTATGGCTTGAACACTGCCTGATCTTCTTTCTTCTTTGAGACAAGGTCACACCTTATAGATACAGGCTAGCCTGGAACTCTAAATTCTCCTGCCTCAGCTTCCTAAGTGCTTCCATTTCAAGTGTGAACCACCTCACCTTGCTTGCATTTTTTCATCTTTTTTTCTCTCTCCTCCCCCCCCCCCCCCCCCCCCGGCCCCCTGGACAGGGTCTCACTATGTAGCTCTGGCTGTCCTGAAACCTGTAGACCCGGCTGGCTTCAGATTCACAGAGATTTGCCTAACTCTGTCCCTCCTAGTGCTTGCTTTTAGTGGCTTGCATTCTTATTCTTTCTTTTGTTTTTTTGAGACAAGGTTTCTCTGTGTAGCCCTGGCTGTTCTGAGTTTGCTTTAGAGACCAGGCAGCCTCAAATTCACAGAGATCTGCCTGCCTCTGGCTCCTGAGTGCTGGGATTAAAGGTGTGTGCCACCAGACCTGACAATGGCTTGCATTCTTACATTAAAAAACAAAACAAAACAAAACAAAAAAACACCAAGGTTTGGATGGAGCTCAGGAGCAGAGTTCTTTCTTGTCTAGCATCATACATCCTTGGGTTAGATCCCCAGTGTGGCACATAATCCCAGCATGGGGAAGGACAGCCTGGGCCACATGAGACCCTCTCTCAAAAGAATTATCTGAAATTTAGTTTTGAGATAGGGTCCTTGCTCTATCAGCCCAGCTGTCCTCCAACTCTAACACTGGGTTACAAATGTATGTCACTCTGCTTGTCTCAAGGCATCCCATTTGTGTGCAGACTTGCATATGTATGCCACAATGCATGTTTGGAGGTCAGAGGATCACTGCTCAGCCATCTTGACAGCACAAGGTGTTCTGGTGTTTATTTTTTATCTTTGTGGTCCTGGAAGTCAAACCTATAACCTTGTGCCTACAGGGCAGGCACTCTACAACTGGTATATCCCCGACTCTGCCTTGCATTTCATATGGCAACTCTATTTTTGGAGACTCTTAGGGAATGAGGGTTCAGAGTCATGGCTCTGAGACACTCCCTCTAGGGACTAGAGATCTGCAAGAAAGCCCTTTAAAGGAAACAGGTCTGAGAACTTACTATAGAAAGTGCCTGGACATCCAAAGCAGGAGACACATGCCTAACTTAGCTCAGAAGACAGGGCTGTATAAAAGCAGAGCAGGAAGGTCCCACCTGGATGAGAAAGGTGCTGCCATAGTGGGCACAGGCTGAAGGAAAGGAGCTAAGTACTCTTGGTCCCTGACCAATCAACCAATTGTAGGCACTCTGTCTCAGCACATGCTCCAAGGCTCAGAGTAGCACTCACTCGCCTCGACGGCTTTTGGACTGGTCAGGCTGCAGTCGGAACCAGCCTTCTTCCTGCTGAGCTGAACACAGTCTCTGGATATTGACCACCACCTGCGGAAAGGGCAAATCGGGGCTGGAACACTCAGGTCCCTGGCCAAGTACTGATCTTTTTTCTTTTCTTTTTCTGAAACTGGGGATAGAACCCAAGGCCTCACAGATGTTAGACAAGTGCTCTACCCCTGAGCCACACCCCAGCCCCTCACTGGGGGGTTCTAGGCAGGGGCTCTACCACTGAGCCACACCCCAGCCCCTCACTGGGGATTCTAGGCAGGGGCTCTAACACTAAGGCATGCCATCAGTCAACAGTAACTGTTGTGATGGCTTTTCTTGGTTGTCAGCTTGACTACATCTGGAATTAAGAAAAACCCAAAAATAGAGGGTACATCTGTGAGTGATTTCTGCTTAATTTAAAGAGGGAAGATCTACTTTTGGTTTTGGTTAGTTTTTTGTTTTTCAAGACAAGTTTCTTTGTGTAGTCCTGGCTGTCCTAGAATTCACTCTGTAGACCAGGCTGGTCTTGAACTCAGAGATCTGCCCACCTCTGCTTCCCAAGTGCTGTGATTAAAGGAGTGTACCACCACACGTGGCTCCTTTCTTCCTTTCTTTTTTTCTTTCTTCCATTTAGATAGGGTCAAAAAAACCAAAAACCAAAAACAACAACAACAAAAAACTACTAACTAACCCCCACCACCCAAGTGCTGGAATTGCAGATATGGGCCACTAAGATTGGCTTGTCATTTCATTTTTTTTCCATATAGCATCCCACTATGCAGCCCAGGGTAGCTTCAAATTTGCAGCAATTCTCCTGCCTCAGAATCCCAAGTGCTGGGAGTGCTGCTATGCCTGAATGACTTTTATTTTGAGACAAGGTCTGGCCTTGAATTCACTCTGGAGATCAGGTGGGTCTTAAAGTGAAGGACTTGTCTCAGCCTCTCCAATGCCTGGGACAGCAGGCTTGCCTCAGTAGACCTGGTTTCAAGTATTGTTCTTCTAGGGCAGAGGGGCACCTTGAAAGGGTCCCAAAGCTGCCAGCTGGGAGGAATCACAAGTTTACAGCCTGAGACAGCAGGTGGGATAGCAGGAATGGACACCCAATGTTTCAGGTTGGGGTGTAGCCTGGCCAGGTGGGGTTATAGCCAGGGCAGGTGAGGGTGTAGCCTGGTCAGGTGGGGGTGTGTGTCCTGGGCAAGTGGGAGGTGTAAGCTGGACAATTAGGAGGGGTGTAGCCTGGGAAAGTGGAGGGTATAGCCTTGGCAGGTAGGGCTGTATAGCGTGGACAGGTAGGGGTATAGCCTGACCAGGTGGGGGTATATAGCCTGGGCAGGTAGGGTGTGTCCTGGGCAAGTGGGGGGTATAGTTTGGGCAGGTTGGGGTATAGCCTGGGCAGGTGGGGGTATAGCCTGGGTAAGTGGGGGGTATAGTTTGGGCAGGTTGGGCTGTGGCCTGGGCAAGTTGGGGGATAAGGCACTGGGCAGGTAGGGGTGTAGCCTGGGAAGGTAGGGGTGTAGCTTGGGGAGGTGGGAGTGTGGCCTGGGCAAGTGGGGGTGGGGTGGTGCTTACTTTGCCCAGAAAGTCATTCCTGCTAACAAGATCCCAGTCCCAGGCCTCCACGGACAGCGCTTCTGCAGATCCCTCCTCCAGATCAAATTCAAATGTCTCGTTCCAGCGTGGAAAACAGGATTTCTTCACCACCTGCTCCAAAAGGGACAATGGACTCAGTTCACAGAGCCACACAGAGCAGGGTAGCGCTGCCCCCCACACCTCCCCTGGCTCTGTGCTGGTAAATGCTTCCAGGACCATCCAGGAGTGCTGGAGCAAGCCTGTCAGTCACTCCAGCTACTCAGGAGGAAAAGACCCAAAGCCCAAGGCCAGCCTGGGCAACTTGGTGACACTCTTGCTTCAAAAATAAAAATGAATGCCTTAAACTTATGAGTAAGGAAAATAGCAATTCCAGGTGATGCCCCAGTCCTCACTGCTAATGTGAGACCAATTTTTGAGTGGGTAAAGTTTGCAACTAAGACAACCTGCCTACAAATAAATATTCGGATAGGGCTGGGGTTGTGGCTCAGTGGTGGAGGCCTAGAATCCTCCAGTGAGGGGCTGGAGGTGTGGTTCAGTGGTAGAGCCCTTGCCTAGAATCCCCCAGTGAGGGGCTGGAGTGTGGCTCAGTGGTAGAGCCCTTGCCTAGAATTCCCCAGTGAGGGGCTGAAGGTGTGGCTCAGTGGTAGAGCCCCTGCCTAGAATCCCCAGTGAGGGGCTGGGGTGTGGATCAGTGGCAGAGTCCCTGCCTAGAATCCCCCAGTGAGGGGTTAGGGTGTGGCTCAGTGGCAGAGTCCCTGCCTAGAATCCCCCAGTGAGGGGTTAGGGTGTGGCTCAGTGGCAGAGCCCCTGACTAGCATATGAGTCTAGGATTCAATCCCCTGTATTGAAGAACTATTTCATAAGACACCACACACTCCACCAAGGGGGAAACTGAGGTCTAGAGTGGACATGGACTGTCTAAGGCCACACAACAAATCAGAGACTTCACGGAGAGTCTAGCTGCAGACACACCACTGGACAGGCTGCCACCTTCATCATGATGTTCACAGAGCTAAGAAAATCTAGTTTGGAAAGCTGTTCCAGAGTTCCCATGTCCCCACTCCACCCCCTTCAGTTAGCATCCACCCCTAGCTTCCTCACCGAGGTCTCCCGGGTCCGGCCATTGTAGTGCACTCGGACAAAAGGGTCAGATGCACCATTCCGATCCTTTGGGGCGAGGTCCCTGGTAGTGAAATGGGGACAAGGGATTACTGCTCCTGTGGTTTGTGAACACAGCAGGCTAGGGAAGCTTGACTCATCCAGGGCTGCATGCTGGCTGACTGGATGGCAACTGCCCCCTCCCCCGCCTACTGGCCAAGGAGGGAAGGCTATGTCTCCTGACAGAACAACTGCAGACACATCACTGTGCCTGACTCTGCAACAGAAGAGAGGGCAAGAACTGCTGGGAACTGTCAGACAAAATGCTTGTCTCAGCACTCAGGAAGCTGAAGCAGGGGGCTAGCCTGAACTACAATACTGTCAGTTTGAGATACACAGGAAGATACAGTCTCAGAAAGTAGGGGTGGGCATAGTGTCCCCACTCCAGACTTGCTGAGGGGAGGCTGATGTGGCTTGGCCGCAGTTCCTGGAGCAGTGGACAGAGAGAGGCTCATGGAGGCAGGGGGATGTGTTTGTTATGAGGAGATGTGTGCTTATTGATGCCCCAAGGTCCTGAGGCTGGGTGCTACAAGCAACTATGTCATGTTACAACACAATGCCCCAGGCAGCTTGGTGCCAGGCAAGGCTGAGGAGGGTAGATGAAGGTGTTGGGAACGAGAGGGCAGGTAAGCGGGGTTCAACCCTTCCTCATGCCAGCCTCAGGGCAGAAAATAAAGCTGGGAGCAGCCAAACATACCCAAAGTGTCAATCATGCAACGCACATCCCTCCATTTACCAGAGAGACCACTTCCTCCCAAATGGGCTAACCGCCTCAGAGTAAGGGGCATATTTGTTTAGCTTCTTTTGTGGAACTGGCTGGCCAGAGGCTGTCCACTGGCCCCCGGGGTGGACTGGAGGTAGTGTGCTGTCCCACCCACACACCCTGTCTGGACTTGTCATTCCTTTTTGCCACCATTAGAGAACACACACACATACACACACCAGGAAGGAGACTGGAGCCAGAAGCGGCAGTAGGGAAGGAGCTTCTCCTGGAGTGTCCGTGAGTCACAGCCAGGCCCAGACGGGAGTGGGACAGAAGTTAAAAATACCCTATGGCTGGGGGTTAGCCCTGCCACAGGTGACTCAGGCCCACAGAGCCATTCAAGCTATTGTCCCACCCCTACCCCTGTCCGGACATATCAACAATTTTTTCCCTTCTGCCCCCACAAACAGACACCACACACACACCACACCACACACACACACACACACACACACACACACACACACACCACAGAAA